ATGAGAATAACCAGAAAAGGGGAAACAAGTCTGTCAGTGCATTTTCTTGATAGCTATATGATACAATGAACATGAGTTATATTTTTTAAGTTGTAAATTGGCCCCCTAAGTGTACTGGCATTAACAGAAGCACAATTACCCCTTTTAAACCCAAAGGTGTAACTTATAGCAAATGTTAACAAGTTTTCCTCCTCCATTCTTCATTTTTTTTGAGCTTAGCATCTAAATTCAATGTTCCTTCATATATTTTCAGACATTATGCTCTATGTTTCATACAAATATTTAATAAACCTATATGCCTAAATAACAAATATTTAAGCCAAGTACTGTACTAATACTTCCAAACAAGATGGGTAAATGACATATTTTTTATGCTACTTCCTTATGATAAGTGAATGTTTTAAATGATAAGTAAGTGTTTTAATACATGTGAAGACAAATAAGAACTGACCTTGGATCCTGTTGATTACCAGACCCTCTACCATACAGGGGTATCACCTTCTCTCTTGATATTGCTGCTTTACAAACAGGACATGTTTGATTGTTTGGTCGTGTTTCTAGCCACTGGTGTAAGCAAGGCCAACTGCAAGATTTTTCATTGCTAATACTCCAGTTTTAAACTTAGTAAACATGTATGTAAACTGATAATGTCTGCTATATGTACAGTAGACATTAACAAACACACTATAAAACTATCTTCCAACTCCCTTACACAAGGTTACTGAATTAATACATTTTTTTTTTCAACACGTCGGATGTGTCCACTGAGGCAGGGTACGATGCTCTCTCTCATTTCCCTACTATTATTTTATGTCATTTGCAAAACACAGTTGAGATGAGCAGCATACATGGTGGCATCACTGATGTGATGAGGAAAACTCCAGGATAATAGAGTGGCTGCAGCTGCACTGTTGATGCCATGGCTATTGTAGTGAAAGGTTAAATCCTGTGTAGCCGTGACTCATAAATACGTAAAGAAGTTTTCAATAGAGGCATGCATTGAGTGCCAAGAAGATCTCAAAAGTCACCACTGTAGAAGCTGCTCCATATTTTGATGGTGTTACAAAGTCAATTTGTGAAGTGTTAAACTTCAATTTATTAGCATATGTACAATACAGCTAGGAAGTAGGTTGGTAGACAGCAACCGCCCAGGGAGGTGTACTACTGTCCTGCCAAGTGAGTATAATACGGAAGCCTGGACTTGTTTTACATGATGGTAGGATTGCTGGTGTCTTTTCTCTTTCTCATAAACATGTAAGATTTCAAGTATGTCCTGCTACTTCTATTTACATTTAGGTCACACTACACATACATGTATAAGTATATATATATACACACACCCCTATGGATTTTCTTCTATTTTCATACTAGTTCTTATTTTTGTTTATTTCCTCTTATCTCCATGGGGAAGTTAGAACAGAATTCTTCTTCCGTAAGCCATGCTTGTTGTAAGAGGTGACTAAAATACCGGGAGCAAGGGGCTAGTAACCCCTTCTCTTGTATAAATTACTAAATTTAAAAGAGAAACTTTCATTTTTGTTTTTGGGCCACCCTGCCTTGGTGGGGATACGGCTGGTTTGCTGAATGATGATGATGTCAGTATAATAACTATGCTTTAAAGTGCATACAGTAGATGGATACACTGCTCAATTAATATATTTTACCAGCTTTGTTTCACCAAGATAAACATAGTTTAATGTTTAAGGTCAGTGTGAAGAGTAATTCTCAAAATACTGCACGAAAACCAAGCGGCAGGGTAAATAAAAAAAAAAATTCCAAGAAGGGATAACTAACAAGTCAAAGACTCCCTAATAATAAAAAAAGGCATTACAAATGATCAAGATATTTTAAGGGGGCATGAATATAAAGTGAATAAGCCAATTCTGCCATACCAAAAGAGATGTCCACACATGGAGATGACCGCATCCTTTGCTGTATCGAGACATATATTGCACTCAAAGTTTGAATTGTCAGTGGCATCTTCTCCATTGCCTTCTGCTCCACCGAGGCATTGTTGCTGCTTTCACTCCGACTGTCACTAGTGCTACTTGGCCCAGCTGTTGCCATCCTGGCAGGGCTTCTTAAAGCTGGCACTCACTGGCAAATTTGGTTGTTCACTATCATGTAATTTCTGTTAATAAAATATTTGTTATAAATATTTTTTTAACTGTTTACAAAATTCTAACATATAATAAAACTAAATTTTTCTAAGAGAGAATGCAGAGCCTTCTCAGCTTCCCATGGTTTTTGCTTCAGTAACACTAACTCAAAGTTTGCACCACTCATCTACAACTCTTTTTAACAAACCTGTGCTTTCTGTAAAACCCATTGCTGTAAGTCCTCTCTTATATATTTTTAGCATGTTATTTATATTCCCTTATTTATTCCTGTCTTCCATTTAAATCCTCAACCTTTTTTTTTTTTTTTAGCACACTGGCCGATTCCCACCAAGGCAGGGTGACCCGAAAAAGAAAAACTTTCACCATCATTCACTCCTCACTGTCTTGCCAGATGGGTGCTTTACACTACAGTTTTTAAACTGCAACATTAACACCCCTCCTTCAGAGGTGCAGGCACTGTACTTCCCATCTCTAGGACTCAAGTCCGGCCTCCCGGTTTTCCTGAACCCTTCATAAATGCTACTTTGCTCACACTCCAACAGCACGTCAAGTATTAAAAACCATTTGCTCCATTCACTCCTATCAAGCACGCTCACGCATGCCCGCTGGAACTCCAACCCCCTCGCAACAAAACCTCCTTTACCCCCTCCCTCCAAGTTTTCCTAGGCCGACCCCTAACCCGCCCTTTCCCTTCCACTACAGACTGAGACACTCTTGAAGTCATTCTGTTTTGCTCCATTCTCTCTACATGTCCGAACCATTTCAACACCCTTCCTCAGCCTCTGGACAACAGTTTTGGTAATCCCGCACCTCTCTAACTTCCAACTACGAATTCTCTACATTATATTCACACCACACATTGCCCTCAGACATGCATCTCCATGCCTCCAGCCTTCTCCTCGGCTGCAACATTCATCACCCATGCTTCACAACACATAAGAGCGTTGGTAAAACTATACTCTCATACATTCCCTCTTTGCCTCCAAGGACAAAGTTCTTTGTCTCCACAGACTCCTAAGTGCACCGCTTACCCTTTTCCCCTCATCAATTCTATGATTCACCTCATCTTTCATAGACCCATCCGCTGACATGTCCATTCCCAAATATCTGAATACATTTACCTCCTCCATACTCTCCCCCTCCAATCTGATACCCAATCTTTCATCGCCTGATCTTTTTGTTATCCTCATAACCTTACTCTTTCCTGTTTTTCACTTTTAATTTCTTTTTTTTACATACCCTACCAAATTCACCCATCAACCTCTGCCACTTCTCTTCAGAATCTCCCAAGAGAACAGTTTTCATCAGCAAAGAGCAACTGTGACAACTCCCACTTTATGTGTGATTTCTTTATCTTTTAACTCCACGCCTCTTGCCAAGACCCTCACTTTTAAACTTCTTTACAACCCCATCTATAATATATTAAACAACCCGGTGACATCACACATCCTTGCCTAGGCCTACTTTTACTGGGAAATAATCTCCCTCTTTCTACATACTCTAACTTGAGCCTCACTATCCTCGTAAAAACTCTTCACTGCTTTCAGTAACCTACCTCCTACACCATACACCTGCAACATCTGCCACATTCCCCCCCTACCCACCCTGTCATATGCCTTTTCCAAAATCCAAAAAATGCCACAAAACCTCTTTGCCTTATCTAAATACTGTTCACTTATTGTTTCACTGTAAACACCTGGTCCACCACCTTTCCTAAAGCCTCCTTGTTCATCTGCAATCCTATTCTCTGTCTTACTCTTAATTTTTCAGTAATAACTCTACCCTACACTTTACCAGGTATACTCAACAGACTTATCCCCCTATAATTTTTGCACTCTCTTTTGTCCCCTTTTCCTTTATACAAAGGAACTATGCTCCTATCCTAATAATTCTACACTTTTCTAGAGAGGAAGATATAGGGCCTTAGTCTATCCTTGTAGGAAAGATTTTTTGGCACATGAGATCAACTCTGTCATCTAATATAGTTACCAGAACTGCACAGCATACTGTAAATAGGGTCTTATCAACGATATTTTAGTGATGATGTATAAATGAGGATTTGTTTTTTTATACTTCTTGATACGAAGCCAAGAATTTTCTCACAACTACACTTCTCACACTTTTTTTATAACAAAATCTCCCAGTCTTTACACACTGAAAAACCTCTGTCCTCCCATTAGTAATACTTTTCACACAGTTCTCACATTAAAGACTCACCACAATATTCTCCAGAAGACTGTCTGATATCTTATTTAAAATTTGATTATTTTACAATTCATGGTGAGCACTAAAACAGAGGGGTTATACAGTGCCCGGAAATGAGACATTTCAGACTGAACCCAAGGAAGGAGAGCACAGGTTCAAATTATATGCTCCGATAGAAAATAAAATTTAAGTGCTAATCCATTTTGGGTCATTTTAGCTCAAAATAAAAAATTTATAATTATTATAATAACTAAGCACTAAACAAAATTCAGACAGAAACAAACATCACTAATACTGTTTACATTCTATATTTCTGCCTGGCTACTATAGGAATAAGTCGATCCCATTTTTTTCCTGTATAGGGATGCCCCTGTTTGGAGAAAAATACCATAGTTCTCAAGGGTATGCAGAGGTGGTCAGCCATTTAGCTTTGGCCGGCCATGGTACTTAAAACT